AGCATTTTGCTCCTTTAGCTTATTCTCCCCATCCCTCACTGCACACCTCCATCCTCTTCACTTTCAACTTCACCCATGTAGTTTTTTGGGGCACAGTTGTGTTATAAGAGCAACAGTATTACATTTCTATTTGCCATAACCACCTGGGCCCCAAATTTTATTGTACTTCTTAGACATTCACTCATAACATTTTCATGAAATCCACATACAGGAACTTAAGGTGGGCACTCATGGCTATAGGTGGCCGGATGGCACCACACTTGCCTCCTGTGCCTGTGCCCACCCCCCAAGGTTTGCATTTAGACACTTAGGGTTTTGGGTTAGAGTAGTGGTGGAGGGGAAACTGACACCACACCGGCCTCTGCCTCTTCTTCTTTTCTTTTTTAATTACTCTACAGAACAACACGCACCAACAGTACATCTGGGGGTGGGGGTGTCAGGGTCTTTATTCCCATCCCGTTCCCCGATTGCCATTTGGGGAAGGGATCCTGAAGAAGGGCGGGCTGTGGGTGGGCTCGGGGCTTGGACGGTTGCCGGGGGCGGGGCTGGCTCTCCATCCTCCCTGGTGCTGCTTGGTGTCCTGAGGTGTGGCTCTTGGTTCCTGTGGGTGGTCCCCTGGCCGGGGTGGCTGCCGGGTTCCGGGGGTGGACGGCTGGGGGGGGGTGCACTTGGTCGTTGGCGGTGTGGTGGGGTGGTCATGGGTGTGGCTTCTCTGCGGCGGGGTGCTGGCTGGGCGTCCTAGTGCGGCCCGGGCCGGGCCTTGGCTATCTGCTCCTCTCCACCTCAGAATAACTGGGCCTACCTCCTGGGTTTGGGTGTGTGCTGCCTCCAATAGGGGGTGGGTGCATGTCCTGGACCTGGGGGGTATAGAGTATGTATCGGGGGTATGAGTGGAATGTGGCGTCCTTGTATGTCTTTGATTGAGTGGGGGTGAGGATGAGGGTGGGATGGTGCGATTGTGTATGTCTGGGTATTTGTCAGGCTGCGGTCTAGGCTGCCCCTCCTGCTGGTTTATCTGGGGACCCGCTGCTACTCGGCCCCCCGGTGGGGTGTGCGGCTGGCCGCCGGCGTGCTGGGGGTTCCCGGGGTCTGGGGCTGGGCGCTGGGGTGTGTGCTGGCCTGGCCTGGTGACTGCCTGCTGGGGCTCGGGGCCTCTGGCCCTGTCGGGCTTTGGCCTGGAGGGGGTGCGCCCTGGGGGCCCGGACCTCTGTGCCCTTTCCTGGATCTGCTCTGGTATGGCGGGTGCTGGTGGGGCCCATGAGTTTGTCGCTGCTGGCCCCGGGGGCTGTGCGTGTGGTCGCTGGGGGGACTCACCCAGTTCTCCCCTATGGTCTGATCTCAGGGGTGGGTGGGCGGATCTTCCCGTGCGGGTGCCCCTTGGGGCTCTGCGCTCGGGATCCTTCTCGGGCCCTTGGGCTCTGGTCTTCCCTATGTCTGCCTCGTGTCTTGGGGGTTGGGTCTCCGGTCCTCCACAGTCAGTATTAAATATTCCATTGGAGAAATCTTGTAAATACACGCATGTTCACAACCGCTCACAAACAGGTGTTCTGATCCAGGGGGTTCTGACTAGTCACTGAGTGTGTATATATGTCTGTGTGTATATACTGACAATATTTATGAATGTAGGCATGTATGTATGTATATCTTTATATATGTATGGGTATGTGTATATATTTATACTGTATATGCCCTTCATGTATTTATCCATTTATTTTTCAGGTGAGCGGACAGATGTTGGGTGTGTGGTCCTGTGTTTTGTTGGTGTATACAGTATTTAATATACTTCTAATCGCTATTTCAATCTTTCTATCTTTCTGATTACTTCTAAAATAAAAAATAAAAAAAACCCCAGAAAACACCATCATGTTTGGTCCTTTAGAGCCCAAACTCCTTCAGACAATTCACATGCTTTTTAAGCTCTTCATCTGTCTGAGCGATGTCATCAATGTGTTTACATCTACAAGCTTTTGATGTTACTTATTTAGTTTAGTTTTTTCCTTCCTACAGACTATGGAATATTTGAGGAGTGCATCTCAGGTGTTTGCTACTTATGTGTGCAGAACTGAATCACTTCATCTAAAACCACATGTATGACAATAAACCTCTGATGTGTGTCTGAAAAGAAACAGGAAACAAGGTGAAACCGTTACCAGAAGGAAAGCTGGTGAGTTGTGGGAGTTCGTTGATGTTTGCATTGATTCTGGTCAAAGCTTCAGGCAGAGTGTCTCCATCACATTTTAAATCAGCTGATTCCCCCAGAAGCCAAAGAAATAGCTGAAGGACAAAGTCTCATCACTGACTTGTATTAGTTTATGTTCTCTACTGCATTTATGGTGTATGTTTAAAAATGTTGAACTGTGAAGTTAGCGGATACCTCGTTGGGAGTCCACAGATGTTTAACCTTGACTTTAAAGTGCTGTCCTTCCTGCGGAAGGTTTGGCTCAGCAAAGGGTCCCAGCATTGGCTCTTCTGGGGCCAATAAACCCTGAAAGCATAAAATCTGCAGCAGTCTTGCATAACACAAGCTTTCTAGTAAAGTTAACACTGAAATGTTCCAAATACTTATTTTGACTGTGTACTGAAAAGGTTCTTAACAGGAAACTGCAAATTATAAAGTTAAAAAGGGAGTTTTGGGAGAATCTACAGCCAAATTAAGCTTGATTCTGTTTTGATGTCGTTATTGTGGACATTCTTGCAATGTAGTGGGAGGACAGAGGTCAGCGGTGTCCAATCCTTGTATCAAGGGCTACTATCCTGCGTCTTTTACTGGTTTCTCTGCTCTAACAAACCAGTGATTCAATTACCTCTTCAAGTTCTGCAGAAGCCTGGTAATCACTCGTTCAAATCAGGTGAGCTGGAGCAGAGAAACCTTTAAAACATGCAGGATGGTGAACCACCAGGACCAGGGGTCGGATTTATAAAACTGGCGTACGCACAATTTGAGCCCAGAAACTTGCGTACGCCACTTTTTACGCCAAGGTTGTGATTTATAAAATCCAAACTTGACGTGAAAATGTGCGTCACAGCTCTGACCCTCACAGCTCTGACCCTCACAGCTCTGACCCT